CTCCATTCACCTTCTTGAGGAGATTTTTACAATATGTAACGTCCTTCACTGAACCATACAACCTTCAGCGACTTGGATTTCCACTATCAGATGATGGACAAGTTTTCCTCAGTATTTGCAGAATATAACCGCCGGACATTGCCGCAGAACATCATATCGTTCTTGGTTTACTTTGGTGACAACACATCCCGCACTCCCGTAGGCTAAGTATATAGACAAAATTCCTACTAGGCCACCCATCCCTTCAATCATTTAACTGTCATCTCCCAGATTCTGGGAGACACGTTTCTCTTCACTCGCTCCAGGGGGCGGTAAGATGAGAGACCCTGGGAACGAGGTTGAAAACCAATACAATGGGTCACTAGGCTTAACTCAGTACATGTATGTTACACTCTGTACCTGTTAACAAAGCCTAAGGAAATACAATAACAAATATTTCTAATATACACTATTCTGTCCATACCATCATCCATATCAGAATCTGCACCATTTTCCAAAACCTTAGTGTCTCCACTGTCAGCCAGATCTGGCTCGTCAACCAGAACCTGTTAAAAGATTTAACCCAAGGTTAAAACTAACAATGTTTACGAAACAGCTGATTAGAACAACAAGAAAAGAGTAAACTGATGGAAACAAATGCACTGCACCACTAGAAACACACCTTCTTCTTTTTCTTCTTCTTTTTTGTGGAAAAACTAAAGTCTAAGGCATCCACAGCTTCAGCTGTAGACTCCTTTTCACCCTCTTGTCCTCCACTTTCTTCAGTTTTGTTGTCAGTGGAAGCATCCTGAGAGGGGCAACAAAGTTGAAAGAGCAGAAAATTTACCACATACAAAAAGACTATCGTCTACTTTCCCCTCTATAGGAAGGCATTAATATTATTACTACAGCCAGTCCTTCTCCTTCTGTTAAATTTTGAATTCAACCATTATTAGAAGACAGAAATACTTCATACTTCAATCATATTTGGTATGATCAGGGCAATGACTGGAACAGCATACTTGCTTCACTGCAATCTTTGTAACATTTTAGTATTGTACATTTGTACTTTCTTAGCTGCGAAAAGCATCTACATGTAAAAGGCCATTCTGAATGCCTCTTGCCACTGTGTCAAATGAATCTTTGCACAAAACCATTCACGTCAAATTACATCTCACCTGTCTGTTCATTTTCATACAAATCAAGGTCACTTTCAGACAAACAATTTTCCACAAGGGCACATTTAGAAACAGAGGTACAGTATAAAGGGCTACTTAGAATTGGCCTATTGCAACATTTTTACATCAGCCTTATAAACACACAAGATCATTGCAAGGCAATTACATCATCTTTACATTCAAGTGAAATCAAAATGCCTATACTGTTTTGTACATGTTATATATATCCTATGATAACAATTATTATTACATCAGCTTTTGGAAAGCAAATCAATACTATTAATAATCACTTACTGGGAGTGCATCTTCAAGACTCTCCATATCGTACGGTTTCTTTTTCTTCTTTTTCTTTTTCTTCATTCCAGAAAAGTCATCAAGGTCCAAGATGTCTGTTGTAACAACCAAATTATACACTTATAGTTTATAATATGTTTACAGAGCATGGCAGATTATATTAACAAGATCTTGCAACTAAATTCACAAAAATTTACCGCCCACAAAAGAACTCAGTTCACAATGGGGTTCAGTTTGCCAGGAGGTACCAGACAATGGTATCTAAGCTAACTCTCCCGCATTATCCAGGAGTCTCCTGGATACAGACCTAATCTCCCGGTCTCCCATACGGGTCACCAAATCTCCCGGATTTGAAGGAACGCCCTTATTTTGTCTGATTTTTTGGAATATTTGACCCATTTTGTGGCTGAGTCAGAGGAGCTCTACTTTTAACAACGTTCTTTTAAGGTAGAGAAGGTAAAATTGGCAATCTCCTGGATTTCATTTTTGTTTAGGTTGGCATCCCGCAGTGGAGGGGGGATTATTAAGATGGAGCCTCTCTCCCACTGCACCCCAATGACACTTAATGCCCAAGCATTTCATGTTCTCTTTGCTCAGTTTTGGAAGAAAAACTAAAAATTTCTCAATCATACATGGCTGTATACAATGCATTTAGCAATGTTTAAAGCGAAAATTTGCATGCAGCCATGTTTCACCAGATAACTTGACACATGTCTTAGTCTTGTTGCGTGAGATTTACTACAAGTACCTATCTGCTTCCCGTTTACATACAGTAACTAAACGCAGAAGCATTGTAAGCTTAAAAAGTAAGCCCTATGCAAGCATTTAATATAAGCTTACGCATGTCCGCTACATGCCTATGTGTCGAAAACTCTCCTATGACTACGTGAAATTATGCCGGTCTCGTCTCCAATTTTGGGGCAACAAAGAGTGAATGAATGTGACAAACGTTTTGTCAGCGATCATCTTGACTACAAGTCAACTAGTTCAGCACTTCACACAACGCAATAATATTCCGAGTTCGTCGTCATCCTGATTACCTGTATCTTCTTTGTCTTCTTTTTCTTCTGTCGCTACATTGTCCTGATTCTCGTTTTCGGGAGGATTGTCGTTTTTCTCATCCACATTGGATGGAGCATTTGGCTCTTCAAGGGCATCAAGATCTAGGGGAACCTTCTTCTTTTTCTTCTTCTTTTTCATGGTAGGATCGAACATCTACGATTTTCAAGGTGAAATTACAAGACATCAAAAGGACCATAAGATCTACCTTTTCAATAGTAACTTAAAATATAACCAGAGTATACTTACCGCTTCATCCTCTGCCATTTTTATACCTAATAATAACGAAATAAACGCCTTTATATCAAAATATTACCAAGAATTTCTCTGAATTACAAGAATAATTTTCCACATGCAGTTGCGTCAGCCTGTCTGCGCATGAGCAAACGCTAGACTCGTTTCCAGTCCGCTGAATGACAGGCGAGTTTCACATGCACAGCCTTTGGCGCAAGATAAGCAGATATAAAAAATATCAAAATGCCTTCACGTTTAATTCCTCGAATTCTCATTTTTGTAAACAAAGAGAGAGCAACTCGAGCCTCGTGTTTCATCATTCATGTAATAGTAGTAATAATAGGTTGTGACAAAGAAAATGAATAATAATAATAATAATAATAATAATAATAATAATAATAATAATAA